AAAGATGTTATTTACAGATGTTAGACTAAATACTATATCAAAATAATCAGCCAGAGGAGTTAAAAGTAGTTGTCTCTGAGGTGGAATAAAGGAAGAATTAAGTAGTTGTGTGTTGTTTTCCATAGCAAATGTTAAAGAACTATTTGACTATGATTTACTTGCAAGTATCATTTGTTTTAAAAATGCATAAAAATCAGCACACTTCCTATTTCTTGTTGTCCTTCCCCGTTTTACTGCTGTTTAGAGACTGATTATGAACATTTCGTGTAATTTTTAGCAATCTACATTAGCATATCATAGTCTCAAACAACTCTCGCTAACTCTCCTAACAATGAGTAATACGGTAGCTATTATTATTTTGGGGTCCCAGAGTTAACAGATGTCCAGCTTAAATTGTAAACCCCACACTCTCCTCTACGACACTTTAGCTGTAATATGTCATGGTTTTCTGGAAAGTGAAAATGGCAGAGTGCCCAGAAATGAAGATTTGAGTCAAAATCTCAGCACCAGGCAAACTTAGCTGGTTTGACTAAGCTTGAATATTATTTCTTCATGATTAATTAAAGATGCTTAAAGAAAAATTAAAGGGCTATTAATTTACAATCAGAGTAGTGGACAAGTGCTTAGCAAATATGGGTGGATAGAGAAGGCAAAGTAAAAGGGATTTCTTCCTGTTACATCACAGCCAGTCTGGATCTATCACAGAAGGACCTTTTAGGGACGTACTGCTCATCAGGCTGCATATAGGGTATTAAGAGTCAAAAATAAACACTCTTAATTACTGGTTCTCTCCTTGCTTCTTTGTGTGTTTGCATTTATTGATACAGCTTTTTTTTTTTTTACTTTAAGGAAGGATATCTGCTTTTACTGTTTTCTCTTTTTACCTAATAAAGTACTTAATAGTGATCAATACATGTTTATAGGATGAATATACAGGCAAATGAATAAATAAACAAAAGTTCAATTTTCAACAGTGCCAGATGAATGAAAAGGACGGTTGGGATCTGCCGATCAGAGGTCCTGCCAACTTCCCACCTCCGGCTCGTTCCCGTGATGTCCCCTACGTTATTTCTTTTCCTTGTGGTTAAATGATTACCTCTGGGAGTGGTGACCCTTGTCAACCTTCTGAATCTTTCATAAGAGTAGACAGAGACAAGATACAGAACTCAACATAAGTCCGTTTAATAAATGCAGTCAATACAGTGGCCCATGCTGACAAATTCTCATAAACAGGCATGGAGGTTAATCAAAACTGTGTGGGGACTCTTCTTTATCCCCTTCTTATCTAGCCTGTCTCACCTCACAAAGAACCTTAAAAGGATAGAGGATCTAAGATTAATTTTGCCACATTGTTTAGACAGGATACAGGGTATGACGCACTCTTCTAAATATGCAACTCCATTTTTGTCTTTTTACTGACTCAATAAATATCTGCTGAGTCAATAAACATCCCTATTACTGTATCTGAATCAATAAATAATTGTTTAGTCAATAAATACTTGCATAGATTTGTTGCCTGAGCAAGTACTTATTGAGTCTTTGATACCCATATGAAATAAATACTATACTATGAGATCGGCAGGACGAGAGCCATGTATATCTTTACTTTACTCTAAAACATATGGTTAATGTTGCACTTTGAATAACGTTTATTAACAATGAAAGGATTCATCAAGAATCTTCTTCTCAACTTACATTTTTTCCTAAGAAAATTTACTTTCTCGTACATAGAAATATGGCACCAAGAAATACAAAGATCCCTAGAGAAAGGTCATCATTTGCAGTTTCTTCTTTTGCCTTTTAAGATTATCCAACATTAAACAACTGGTATGCCTTACATGTAACTTGGCATCCTTGTGCAACCTGACTAACATCTGTTGAACAACTGGCAGAAAGAGAAAAATAACCCGTCCTCTTTTTCTTCAATTACATAAAACCAGTAATCATAGAAAAATATTTTTTCTACTGTAATTAGCATTCATGAAAGCTTCTTGAGTCAGTACCATAACCAGATGCTGCTCTTGCAGATAGGTAGGGATTACAGGAGAGAGTTCGTACGCAGGTATGAATTAAACATTGGGCTAGATGCTGGAAGAGCAAAACTAAAGCAGAAAAGCATTCCCTCCTTTCAGGATCTTCCACTTTAAGGGGAAGTCATGGGAGCTATAACAAATGTAGCGTTAAGCCCAGTATGAAAATAGTGGAGTTTCCAAGAGAAACAAAAGATTGGATGGAGAGGGGATTTCCAATAGCAAAACCAGAAGCCTAGAGTTTAACTGAGAGCTCTTAGTACAACTAGACTGCTCACCTTTCCATTACTTGGACAAAATATTTGACAAATAACATACAGAAGGAAAAGTTTATTTTTGTTTAGAGTTTCAGAGGTTTCACTGCATGGTCTTCTGGCTCCAAGACAGAAATATCACAGGGAATGGGCATGGCAGAGAAATGTTGCTCACCTCCTGGCATCCAGGAAGCAGATGCACAGGACAAAAGCCAGAGAAAGGGAGATGTACCCTCCAAAGGTGCCCACCAATGATTCACTTCCTCCAACGAGGTCTCACCTCCTGATACACTCATCCAATAAGGGACTAATCCTTTAGGTCAGAGCCCTCATAATCCAATTACCTTTGCAGATCCCGTCTCTGAACATTGCCACAGTGGAGACCAAGCCCTCAGTGAGATTTAGGACACATTTTATACATAAACCATAATGAATATCAAATAAATGTGTATTGCGAGAATGGGAATGGAGTGGCCAAAGCTGGGAGGAAAACTATGGCCAAATCTGTAAGAGCTGTTTAGCCATAAAAATAATATGAATAGACACTTCTCAGAAGAAGAAGCACTAGTGGCAATTAGTTAAAAGCAATTAGTTAAAAGCAAGTAAACTTAAAGATAAATTCCCTAGAAGTAGTTTTTTCATGCCAATGTTATGATATATTTATACCTGTTTTAAAGAAGAAAATATTCTATAATGGGTTACTTAGTTGATCTCCAAGAACTATGCTTAAAACCAAAGTGTTTCAAATTTAAAGAGCAAATTAAATTATATGTGGCTTTAATTCATCTGATGATATTGCAGCAGACTTATTAAGAAAAAAATCCTTGAGAGGCAAAATGATCTGTCACTTAGGTATTTAATGTCATGCTGTCCAGGGTAAATTTTAGCAAAACCCTCTGCTCTACTATGTGCTGAAAATTATTATGCAGGTTCCAACAGAAACAAGCATGAGTATCATATCTGCCTTAGCTCTTTCTGATTGCTGTTTCAAAATATGACTCCAGCAACCTAAAAAGAAAGGTTTACTTTTGCTCACAGTTTCAGTAGGTTCACCCCTTGGTTGGTTGGCATCGCAAAAATGGCACAGAGGAGGAAACCTGATCCCCATATGGCACTTGGCAAGCAGAGACATAGAAGAAAGAACCTGAGGACAACACACACACTTCCAAGTCACAGCCCCAGGCGTCTGCCCCCTCCTATCAGACCCTCCCTCTGAAAGTGAGACTTTTAGGTAACATTTTAGATTTAACTATCACATTCTGTCCTGACCCCAAAGACTCACATATAATTTACATAAATGCATTTCGTCCACCTCTAAGAGTCACCTAAGTCTTAATAGTAAAATCACTACTAAAAAAATCCATGCTCAATGTCTTTTCCGAGATTCAAGCAAACCCTTAGCTGTGAGCCTCTGTAAAAATCAAAAGGAAAGTTAAACATTTCCAACACTTAAGGTGATAGATAAACAACCCCATTCCATAAGGGAGAAGTAAGAGAAAAGAAAGAAGTCATGCCAGCACATGACCAAACCACAGCACAGTAATCATGAAATCCTACGGTTGCATGCCCAGCATCCAGACAAAGCTATGGTGAGATGTGAACTCCAAAGGGCTGGGGCAACCCTGCTCCTGTGGCCTGCTGTTTGCAGCCCACATATCATTTCTCTTGGGCTGATTCCATTCATCGCAACCAGTTACAAATGCTTCTGAAACACATGGTCCCAGCAATGGCATCCTCTCAGTACAAATTTTCAGCCTTAGTCATGTTACCATCACAGGGAAAAAATACCAGACTCCTGTAACTTAAAGAAGCAGAGATTTATTTTGGCTCATAATTTTGGTCAGTTCAGTTCATTGCAGAAAAATGCCCTGGCACAATGACATGGTGTCCATAAGCTGTTATCCACACGGTGGTCAGGAAGCAGAGAGAGAAGAACATGAGTCAAAAACTACCCTTCCAGGTCAAATCCCTTTTACCTATTCCTTACAACCAGGATCCCTGTCCAAACTTGAAAGTTTTGGGGGACATTTTAGAACGAAATCATAACATTTTTCCATTACTTTTGCCAAACTCTATTGGTTAAAAGAAGCCAGAAACCATTCATACACTTACGAAAAAGGATTGCTCAAGATTGGAAGCCATGAGGTAAGAACTCATTAGAAGTCATCTGAGAGTCTGCATAGTACATGGGCCAATGGGAAGACTTCGAGACCAACAATAAGGGAAGAAAAAGGCTCACAATGTGATACGCTTATATACCAATTCCTCATAGTGACCCTCCAGTAAAACCTTGGTTTTCAAGCATAATTTATTCCAGAAACATGCTTATAATCTACATCATTTGTGCAGTGGTACCTCAGTTCACAAACTTAATTTTTGTTCTGTGATTTTGGAAAAGATAATCACATTTGTGTCTGTATGGGAAAGAGGGCTGAAGTCATGTTTGCCACCCAATGAAGAATTTGAAAAAACAAACAAAATTTTGCCAAACACATATTTGTGAACCAAACTGTCCGCCGACAAAAGCACTGGTGAACTGAGGTACTACTGTATAGCAAAGTAAATTTCCCCATAAGAAATAATGGAAAATCAGATGATTTGTTCCACAACTCAAAGGTATTCGTGCAAAAATGGTTACACTATAATATAATACAAAATAATAAAGAAAATACAAAATATAAAGAAAAGTAAGCAAATTAATGTTCACTTACCTTTGAAAATCTTTGTGGCTCTTGTGAAAGAGACAGAGAAAAGGGCTATTTTCAGTCCCTTTCCATATCACTGATAGAATCACTGCTATCTCTTGGCTCAATGGAGTCTTTATTTCATGCAGCTTTAACAAGGAACATACCCATTGCCATGTATTTTTTGCATCATTTGAAGGATTTCATGGAAATGTGACACCTCACTGTTGTTAAACAGATTTGTAGCTCACACTGCTACAGGGGTGGTGCTTTTTTGCTAAATTTTCCAGTTTCCCACATCTCCCTAATCTCATTTGAAGTAAGGGGTTTCTCTCCCTTTTTCTCATCCTCTTCTACAGACAAGATCTCCTCCACAATATCTTGCTGTTGACAGATGATCACCCACAATCCTGCAGCGAGAGAGAGAAAAGAACAGTCGGTTCTGTTGTGACCATGTTATGTTCGGCATCACATACAACTCATATTACAAGACATCACCATTTATCAACTTAGCATTTATTGGAAATATTTGCTGGTCTTGTGGGTTTCTTGCAATCCAAGATTTTACTGTACTTATTATGAATAACAAACATAATAAAAAAGAGAACAAGTAAACAATAACAAGAATAGTAACAAAAAAGCAAACCCCAGTAAAGGAATAGCCTCAAAGCAGCAGCCAGTCTTCTATCTGAAGTTTGACTGATAAACACCGATTATCTTTCAGAGTATACTCTCAGGTTTTAGAGAAAATATACATTTGTTTGCATTTGAAAATATGCATTTGTTTGCATTTCTGAACTGAACCATGAGTTTCTTACCTTTATTCTTTTAATTAAAGAATAATAATGGCATCAAATCAGTATGTTTGTGTCACTTTTGTGTCAGATACATTTGTCCAAAAAACATTCAAGATACATAGCATTGTAGGGCCAGCAAGTGACAGAGCCAAGATTCAAGTCCCAAAGACTCACCTGGCCTCTTCATCATTTATGAATGAAGTAAAATAGTGAAGTGAAGCATGGAAGACACTATTTGAAAGGTCATAACATTTGAAAAGGAAGTTATTACGGTACCACATATAAGCTGACTCTCCCTGGCATACACTTTCCCATCTGGTTCACTCACAGATTTTAATGACTGTTAGTAGATCAAATTTTAGAGTGTTATAATCCATCTGTTAGAACTGGGGCTGTGGATATACGACTTACTTTAGAATTCTACTAGTCAATACAAAGACTTACTGTTCAATTCCTGTTTCTAACCTACATCTTACAATCATTGTCTCTGTTACAACATATTTCATTTTTAAAAAATAAAAATTGGCAACCTACAAATCTATATTTTTGACACAGATATGTATAAATGTGTGGTATACGGAAGGCGTTGTACTAAGGTTAGGCACAATGGGGGATAAAATGAACATGGATTATTTTACCTTCAGCGTCCATAATTCAGTTGAAGTAGGAGGCATATAGCATATAAAATAAAAGGCAAAATTAAATAAGTGTTACTAATAGAGGAATAAGCAATATGGTACGGGAGTGAAAAAGAACCCAGGGATGGGAATTTCTGGGTGAATCAGATGCCAAATTTTTTCCAATCCTCAGCTAACCGCGGGCTTCTCTGTGATCTGAAAATGTTGACTTCTAAAAGTTCTTTCAATTTAAAGAACAAAGGAGAAGGCTCTAGAGAGGCCATGAAACTAGAGAGACCTTAAAAACCATTGGCAGTCAATTGCCACACAAACCCTCTCCTTCTCTTGGATTCCCTTGTGATTCGCCTTCAGAAAAGGATCTTTGAGAAGCTGACATAAAAGACACTTCTTCCTGTAGAAAATCATGCAACAAGAAGGGACTGAAGTTTTTAGAAAAATCAATGAGCAAAGTGCTCGATTTGATGAAGTGAATATATCAGGTCCAGAACTGGGACAAATTTCTGTGTTCCAGTAGTAAGATTCCCATATTTTGTAAGCATCTGCAAGTGTTGTATAACATGAAGACCCTGGACCAATAGATCTGCAGCTGAAAGACTGACTTTCTAACAAGTTGCCAGCATGTTACTGAGGTAGCTAATTCATGGAGTGCATCATGAATAACAAAAGACTTTAAAAACAATTTTAAGCTTCTATTAAGTGTATGCCTCAGTCACTATAATAGTGTGGGTGTGGTCTAGTTTGCAGAATGAATAACTGTAGAGTGGATTAGGGAGAATTTTCAAAATGGGTCTCAACTTGTGATTTATCATGAAAGGGAATATATTTTGATCCATTGTTTGACATAAAATATTTTCACATGACAACTATTATGCTTCAAGAAACAGGTGCATATCTGTGTTCCATGATGTCATCACATTTCAGAGTTTCTTTTTTAATCATTTATTCTCATCTACACTCTCCATCACTGGCCATTTAATATTATCCTCCTACTTCTGATGTATGTAACAGGTAGACTATTCTGATTTTTAAATAGCTGTTTCTCTAGCATTAAGGTAGATTTAGGTTTTGAGGAATATGAATCATATAGAAAAGGAAACTGACCATGTTATTCTGTGACCAATGATAGAGAAGACATAGTAGCCCAGCCTCTCTCTCTTTTTACTTCTAGCATAATAACAATCTTTACTACTGTATTTTTCAATGTGGCTGCAATGGTATTTACAAAAAGAGGAGGACTGGAGCAGAAAGATTTTTCCTGTTCACAGAGGTCTTTAGAGTAAATTAAAGGAAAGTATAAAATTTACCTCATTTTATGAGAAAAATAGTCCCAGATCTAGATATTCCAAAAATGTCATTACTCAAAGCTGGAAGCCAGTTTGAGTTTGGACAGAGGTACTGCAACGTTAGCAGAACAGTTAGGGAGTGGAGACCAGGGAAGCAGATAATAATACTAAGCCCAGGAAGTGAGATGCCAAAGGAAAGAAGGGAACATAAAGGCAAGAAAAAGAAGCGACTGAAACTTTCAGGGCTGGAGATTGAGCTCAGTGGCATAAGTGCCTGCCTGGCAAGTGCAAAATGGTGAGTTGGATCCCTAGTACCAAAAAACGAAAAGAAAGAAATTTCCAGAATTCTGCATCTTCAGCCACTTCTGCTTTCCACGATATGTCCCTAGATCATTATGGACCAGAAGGGAAAAATGGTGGAGAAAGGGCAGGAAAGTGTGTAGGCAGCCCTCGAGGCTCCATGTGATAGAAAGTAGCCCATCACCCACCACTTCCATTTCATTTCTTGTGGGTCCTCTTCCCACTCAGTTTAATTAAGGAATTAAGGGAAAATAATTTCCAATTTTTATAGAGAGTTTATCCAAGAAACTTGATATATTTCCCACAACTATATTTATATAAATAAAGTTCACATCTATTGCAGCCTAATGATGTGGGTGACAAATGAGTCACATGGTCTGGGTTTCCTTTCTTCTGTCAAAATGTCTCCAACATAGCATACACAGCTATAAACAGACCCAACGGTTTTGGAGCTCCATGTAGGGATCATGTATCTTTTAATGACCCTGCTACTCCCCACACACACTTTTGACACAAACTTCGTATATATTGGAAGGTTAAGTTGGTCTCTACCAAAGCCATTCATCTGTGAACATCATCCAAGGCAATCTATACAACCTCAGGCCACATCAGCCTGAAACACACAAGTGAAGACAGCATTCAACTCAGCCTTGGCTTATTAAAACAGGGTCTCTGTACTTTTCATTCCTCTAACTTTTCCCAGAAGAGACCTTAAATACAGTGTGTTCTGCCAGAACCTGGGATCTACCTTTTTTTCTCTACCAGGTCCATCTCCCTGCACTAATGTTCACCAACACATCTTCAGGAACAAAGTACACAGTGGAATCTTGGGAGGAGTCACAGTGCTAGAGCCATGCCTTTGTGCCTTGGCACTTGATGCCATCTACACAAGAACACTAGGATTTAATTTCCTAGGATGGGGACATTGCTGAAAGGATGCCTGCTTGCTGCGCTTGCTCCTGGGGCCAGATCTGTGGTCCAGAATCTTTCTGGTACCACAGACACTCTTGTGTTCAAAAATCTAGATGTGCCTTTGTAGTCAGGGGTTGTAAGAACAATTAGCATCAGGACAAAAAAATTATAATATTATTTTATGATGGTCACTGTCTTAGTTACTTTTTACTCGTCGCTGAAACAAAATACCTGAAGCCCAAGGCTGGGAAGGCAAAGGTTTATTTCTTACAGTTTTTGGAGGTTTCAGTCCACACTCAGTTGGCTCCAAGACAGGAAGGCATGGCTGGGCTGCAGTTCATGGCGGCCGCCAACAGCAAACTTGAACCAGCAAAGAGCAAAACATACCTTCTTCCTGCCATTACATCACATCCTGGCTCCACCCCTATGTGGGTGGAGCACTGACACCATCAATCCAAGCACTATACAATGAACCATCACAAATGAACAATGCAAACTCATGAGGCCTGGGGGACACAAACATAAACCATGACATTCCACCCCTGACCCCCAGGACTCATGTACATCCTTTATACATATAAAGGGCATTTAAAAGACATTTAGTCCACCTCCAAGAGTTGCCAAAGTCCTAACAGCTTCAACATTGCTGAAAAGTTCAAGTCCCAAGTCTCCTCCAAGCTCTATGGCAAACTCTTAACTGTAAGCCCCTGTACAAAAGAAACAAGGTTAAACATTTCTGAAATGCAAAGGCACAAGATAAACATTATCATTCCAAAAGTTACAAACAGGAGAATAGAAAGCATTCGAAACAAAGAAATTCCAACATCCAGCAGGGCAAACATTAAATCCTAGAGTTCTACACTCAGCATCTGAAGCAATCCAGTTGCAAGTTCCAAAAGTCTTGGGTGATTCCACCCCCAGGGCACTTCCAGTGATTTCAACTCCCGCAGCTTTTCTCTTAAATCTTCTCTGCTCGCTTTTTGCAGCTTTCCTTGGATCATCCACATTCCTGGCTTTTCCAAACTTCTGGGGTCTTCACTGTACCTTCGGCTTCACCCTTATATCTTCACAAATTGCCCTCTCAGGGGCACACTGCATGGCCAGCCAGGCCCTTTGCAATCGAGGTGGAAGCCGTCTTACCCTCAGAATTTGTGCATTTTTCTTGCACCTAAAATCAGCACCTTGTGGATGCCGCCAAGGTTTGCTGCTAGCTGAAGCAGTAGCCAGGCTTTTCTCTCTCTTGGCTGTAGGGATCAGTTGCCTGGATTGCAGGGCTCTGTTTACCTGATTGTGAGAAAAAGCTTCTCTGTGTTGCCGCCATTCTGGAACCTCACGTGGCCTCTGTCGCCATTCTGGAGCATGGCACTCTGTACGTTTTTCCTCTGAGCAAAATTTTTCATCTTTGCTGTGAGGCTGCACAGGGTGGGGACCTGCTTCCTGGGATGCCCCAGGGCCATCTTTCTTATCTCTGTTTCTCCTC